AATAAATAGCCTAATATAAAAATAATTTTTATTTAATTCATAATTCGATAAATCACAATTTGGATTATAGATAAAAATATAAGACCTAATCCAAATAATTTATTAGTGTGTGACAATGCTGTTGCCAAAACGTCACACACTAATAAATTATTTGGATTAGATCTTATTTTCTTATATTATTATCTATAATCCAAATTGTGATTTATCATTTTTTATAGACTTCAATGGACCTAAGAAGTTATTCTTCCTATGAGCTGAAGAAAATGAATTCCAAAGTGAATATCAATGTTGATGCTAAGCCATCACTTGAAGATTCTATTTTAAAGAGTTCAGAATCTGAAGCTCTCCTCTACTTCAATGTCCATTTATTCTTTTGTCTGATGATGGTGACAATGCTGTTGCCGAAACGTCACACACTAATAAATTATTTGGATTAGGTCTTATTTTCTTATAATTCATAAATACCACTCTGAAATACATTTATTTATTAAAATATACATATAGAATAACAGTATTTATATATATGTAAAAAAATTGTACAAAAGTGTGAAATTGTATTGGAATCAGATGGATAAATTAAGAAAATGGCATTTGATCGTACAACTAAAATAGATGGTTCAAGCCATCACAAACTCTTAGTTGCACAATTAGGAGATGCCTTTTTCTTATTAAATATACACATGTGAGAAAATAATAGATGGCGCTCTGCCATCTTAAAAGCTCATGTGAGCGGTCAGAATATGCCTATTTTGTTTTTAATATACAGTAAAACCCCTCTATAGTGAACCCCAATGGGACAGAGCTTTTGGTTCACTAAAGCCACAGTTCACTATAGCCACGGTTTGGACATTTTTTAAAACTTTTATAAATTTTTAGACCGTATAATCAAAAAACAGCCATACAACAGGAAAAGGCAGCCACTTAATAATGGTCACTTTGTTTTAATTCCCTAAATTGACCTATTTATTTACAGTAATGCTGAATATCAAAAGAAGTCATTTGTTAATAGGTTCTTCTTATCATTAGCATACATGTTTATATATAAACCTATGTATTATTTAAAAATTAAGCCAAATCCCCTAGGCAAAACAGTATTAATAATATATTTAAAAGGTATAATAGTATTTTAGAACATCTTTCTCAAATAATATAATACTATATTTATTAGAAAAAATGCCTCTAATACCTTGTTGTTTGAGAAAGTGAAAAGTGAAATTTGAAAATCATAATTGTCTTAAAATATCGTTATTTCCACCAAAGCAAAAGAGCTCTGTGAATTCTGAATCAATTGAGGATGAATCAAAAGTATCCAATTCAGAAAAATCGGACGCAAAACATGTTGATACGATAGCGCAATCGGTAAAATTGCGAATAAAATACGCCAATTGCAAATACAAAATCGGTGGTAAAACGGCTGGCCAGGGGGAATATCCGCGAACCCTGAATGAGTCATATACCTAACAAGAATTCCATTCTAAAAATAGAACTGTAGTGGTAGTTTTTGAAATTTATAAGTCGATTTGTTTGTGGCTAATGAGACACGTGGAACTTGGGGGAACCGTTTTTTTTTTTTGCTTCTTCTTCTTCCAATTCCAGTTTCCACATATTCTTCTGAAATGTATATTAAATTTTGTTTTTAACCTGTTATTCAAACCATTTCTGGCTTTAAAATTATTTGGAATTATGTTTTAGCCTAGGTTAAACTTGATATAGAACGCTTCTAAAAGGGCATGCTGCCACTGTTTTTTTTTTTAGAACACCACTCTTTGTTTCTTTTCTTTATTTTGGAAGCCATTTGTATTTTCTTCTATTTCAAAATTGCCGAATGCAAAGATATTCTATTAAATAAAAGTATAATGTGTAAAAATTTATACAACATACAGCAAAAATAGAATGGAAATGAAAACAAACAATGCCGCTAATTTTTTGTTTTGAAATCGCGATCCGTGAGCTGAACGCAATGCAATTTGCAAATAACTTGACGAATATTCGGAATAGAGACCTGAAATTTTCACTATAAGTTTTTTCAGATTTGTTACATATTGTGGACAATGTTACATATTCTTGGCGAAGCAGGCGTTTTCTCCTAGCGTTCCTTGTCAAACGACCAAGATCTGTTGACTTTTTCCAAGACATATTGAAGTACAATGTATCTGAAATAGAATTGAGAGTTTGAAGAAAAGTGAATTATGAAACTTCTTTAATTCAACACTCCAATGAATAATATTTTTGGATGAATTAAGGTCCAAGTTGAATAATAAGTTAAGATGATTCATTGCAACATTTCCTGCTAGTGTGGACAATTTTCTAGGACATTTTGTTGTCAACAAGTGTTCAATTAGGATCTTTGTTGAAATATAAAGTAGGATAAATAAAGGTAAATAGGCTGATTTGGATTTGAAAATGGCTGATTAATAATAAATATTGAATTATAGTTGGTTGAATAAAATATGGTAATTTGAAAGGGAAATAATTTAAATTTGAAAAATTGGTTGAACTATGTGTTAAGAATTCGGTTTAAATTAAAGAGGGTTATACAGTTAGCTAAGAAGATAGAAGTCAAACCTCGCTATGGCATCACTTGGACAAAGATTTTATGTAGCTCTTTAAATGCGGTTAAAAAACAATCAGGCCTTAAAACTTGGTATTTTGAAATTAGATGTTATAGTGTGTGCTTTTATAAAAGAGGCTATTTAATAAAGTTTTAGTGTATTTATTATATTTCTCTTAATAAAATTGAAAAAAAAGTATAATATGAACAAATTTTTGAAACAAAAAGAGAAATATAGAAAAGTAAGTCACTTAGACACTATGTGTGTGTGTTAGTTGCAAAAAAAAAAAAAGTCAAATGTTGTGCTAGTAATGTTCTCTTGGAAAACTGGCCAAATAAATCTCAAGTTTTCATGGAACCAAAAATATTGACTTTCATTTTCATTATTAACTTTCAGTGTCAAGGACAAAATGGCATTAAAACATAAATACAGCCTAACCTCTTTAATTCGACACCCCAAGGGATCAGAGGTTTCAGTTGAATTAAACTCAGTTGGATGATTTCATCACAACATTCACTGCTAGTGGACATTTTCCCAAAATAATCAAATATACAAGGTGCGTTCATTAATTTCCAGGACTGGTTAAAAAATAAAATAAATAAAAAAGCTAGAGAAAATATTTTTTTACAGAGTTGAATATTGGACATTCGACCACACCTGACTGAAAGCACGAGTCTCGTGGCGCACGCGCCGATCTAAAAATAGAACAAAACAACTTCCTTGTAAGGTTCGCATTTCTAATTTTAAAATGGCCATTTTCGAAGAGCAGAGAATCTGCATTAAGTTTTGTTTTAAATTGAAAAAAAGTGCTACTGAGACGTATGAATTGATTAAAGAAGCTTTTGGCGATGCAGCTTTATCCCGTTCAAGAACTTTTGAATGATTTTCACGCTTCCAAAAAGGTCGGGAAAAGGTAAACGATGATCAGCATACTGGGCGTCCAAGATCATTTCGTTGCGAGGAAAACAAGCTCAAAATAAAGGAGTTAATTAAATCTAACAGAAGAATTATCTTCAGTGACTGGACTATCTGTTTATTTGGGGATAATGAGGTGCTTTAGGGAGGCAGTGCGCCTTAAAAGACCTGAAAGATGGCAAAACAATGACTGGATACTTCACGTCGGTAATGCGCGGCCGCACACAGTCCATGTTGTTTTGCAGTTTTTGGCCAAGCATTCAACCATACAGATCCCTCATCCACCCTATTCCCCCGACTTAGCCCCCAATGACTTTTTCCTCTATCCTAAATTGAAAATTAACTTGAAAGGACGGAAATTTGACAACGTTGATATGACACAAGCTGAATCGAAGGCAACCTTGAGGAACCTCTCAAAAAGTGATTTTATCTCCTGCTTCGACAATTGGAAAAAAAGATGGAACGGGTGTATTGAGGCAGGAGGGGCATATTTTGAAAAATATTAAATTAGTTTTTTTATTTGTTTTATTTTTTCAAAGATACAGAGCAGTCCTGGAAATTAATGAACGCACCTTGTATATTTAAAATAATGATATACAATAGAACCTCCCTGAAAAGGACACCTAATTGCAGAGCCAAAGTGTCCTTTATAGAGAGGTGTCCTCTAGCGTGAATGTCCTCTCATGGAGGTTCTACTGTATCTATCTCTATATATAGTCACGACCGTCTGTCGTGGCCTCTGTCACGGATAATATACAGTTATCATCGTCATGCGTTCTTAATTCTGTCACCGTTTGCTTTTGGTTCAGTGGTAGAATGCTCGCCTGCCACGCGGGCGCCCCGGGTTCGATTCCCGGCCGATGCATTTTTTTTTTTTTTTACAATTTTTAAAACTCATTTATATATTATACAAGAATGACATTCACGGCGCCAATTTATAATTTTAACGAATAGTATTTGAATAAAAGCATTTAATCGGGTAAACCCCGGGCATTGTAGATTATAGACACAAGGTAATAAGACCACATCCATGATAAGGTACAGTTTGGATTATAGATTATAAACACAAGGTAATAAGACCACATCCATGATTGGACCACATCCACATCCAATTTGGATTATAGATTATAAACACAAAGTAATAAGACAACATCCATGATAAGGTACAGTTTGGATTATAGATTATAAACACACGGTAATAAGACCACATCCATGATAAGGCACAATTTGAATTATAGATTATAAACACAAGGTAACAAGACCACATCCATGATAAGGTGCAATTTGGATTATCCCTATATATATATATATATAAAAGTCAATTTCTGTCTGTCTGTTTCGCGATAAACTCAAAAACTACTTAACCAATTGGTACCAAATTTTGCATGTCGCTTTTTATAAACCCGAGGAAAATTTTCGGCTGCATTTTGATTAGTATTTTTGGCTATTTATTTTTTTCATTTGAAGAACTTTTTTTTTTACGCGGACTAATCCGAAATGGAATGAATACCTAAATATGTCCATTTTTTTAAAGCATCGGTGGTTCAGTGGTAGAATGCTCGCCTGCCACGCGGGCGGTCCGGTTAAACTGGCGAAACCGCTGGGAGGGTTCACCACTGATGAGCCAGGCCCTCCCTTTAATTTTTCCATCGCAGTAAGGACAGTAGAAATTGTTTTATTTTAAAAAAGAATATTACGCCTCTAAAATAGTTTTATAATATATTATTATATCAACTATATTAATTAAATCAAATACCTAAACACTAATATAATACAATTTTTGCCATCACACACACTTTTTTCCTGTAGTTTATGTGTTACTTCTGTATTGCTATTCTATGGCACTTCTAATATTTATTATTGATATACTTTTAGTATGAAGGAAATTGCACCCAAGGGATTTCTCGGGCGAAGCCGGGTCATTCGCCTAGTCTCTATATATATAAAAGTCAATGTCTGTCTGTCTGTTTCGCGATAAACTCAAAAACTACTGAACCAATTGGTACCAAATTTTGCATGTCGCTTTTTATAAACCTGAGGAAAATTTTCGGCTACATTTTGATTAGTATTTTTGGCTATTTCTTTTTTTCATTTGAAGAACTTTTTTTTTAAGCGGAGTAATCCGGAAAGGAATGAATACCCAAATATGGCCATTTTTTATATGCATCGGTGGTTCAGTGGTAGAATGCTCGCCTGCCATTCGGGCGGCGCGGGTTCGATTCCCGGCCGATGCATTTTTTTTTTCAATTTTTAAAACTCATTTATATTATATACTATACTATTCCCCCGATCGCAATTTCCTTCATACTGAAAGTACATCAATAATAAATATTAGAAGTGCCATAGAATAGCAATACAGAAGTAACACATAAACTACAGGAAAAAGTGTGTGTGATGGCAAAAATTGTATTATATTAGTGTTTAGGTATTTGATTTAATTAATATAGTTGATATTATAATATATATTTATACTAGCGAATGCGTACCCGGCTTCGCCCGGGTTTTATCCGAGTGAAAGTTTGCCTAACGAATATTATTGATAATAATATTCCGGAACACACCGAATATTATGATAATAATGATAATAATATTCGTTACATTATATATTTATATATTATAGAAAATATATTTTTCGAGCAAACATATCCACTCTCTCTACTGAATAGAATATCAATAAGATATATATAAATGAAAATATCTAGATATATACTACATGATCTTAGCCAAAAGGCAGAGAAACGATATTTTATATGTAGAGATGACCTGGCTTCGTGTGCCTTCTGCTCGAGTGAATGTTTCGCGGTAGAATTTTGTTCCTGCCTACTAAAAATTATTATCTGGCTCCGCCCGTGGACTGCTTTAGTGAATATTCCCCTAAAGAATTTTGTTTATGTCAATCAAGCATGATACAGCAATATTGTCATTATCATTTCTGACTAAAAAAAAAACTATGGCCACTGTGTGTTAGAGTATTGTATTTTCAGCAATAAATTTGTATTTAAAGAAGGAGCATCCAATGTTGAAATTTAATTTTAAAAATTGGTCGAATTATTGATAGTATGAATCATCAATGGTTGAATTAATGTTGGTTATTTGATAGGCTGCAGGTCGGGGCATGGTCGAATTATCGCAAGTAGTAAATTAACAAGGTTAACCTGGATATTGTATATGTTTTTAAATTTTTTTAATTTATAACTTTTCTCCGACAATATTTACTTCTACTATGATGTATTACCATGCCATTATAAGAAATTTAAACTATTTTTGACACTTAGGTTTATTTTTTAAAATAAAACAACTTTCTACTGCCCTTACTGCAATAATAAAAAAAATGTGAGGGCCTAGCTCATCAGTGGTGAATCCTCCCAGCGGTTTCGTCAGTTTAATCCACCCTCTCATTATTTTATAATTGCAGTAAAGATAGTAGAAAATATTTAAAATACCCATTCCAAGAGTCTCTCTCTCTCTAGCATCAGTATCAGTATGAAAGGAAAATCGAAAAATGCAATATTACAGCGGTATGCTAGATTAACTGGAGAAACCGCTAGGAGGGTTCACCACTGATGAGCCAGGCCCTCCCATTATTTTTATCATTGCAGTAAGGGCAGTAGAAAATTGATTTATTTTTAAAAAAAGAAAAAGAATCATACAGTCAAAAATAGTTCAAATTTCTTATAACAGATGGCGCGCTAATGCATCGTATAAACAGTAGAATATAACTTTCTTTTTTAAAGAAATATACGTGTCAAAAAGTTTAAATTTCTTACTTCTACTATGTTCAAGACCAACAATATCATACAACCTAATAAAACTCACATTTATTAGAGAGTAAATTTTGCAGCAGTACCACATGCAAATCAATTAAATCAAATGAAGACAAAGAAAAGTAAAACAGGCATCATCTGCTTGCAATCTAATTGGTCAGGAAAGGTCATTAACCAGGATGCCCCTATAAAACCTGCCATCTTGGGTGGTCAGACAGTTTTTATAGGTCTAAAGTCTGAGCGCATACAATGGGATCTGACACTCTTGTGCTTTTCTTCCTTCGACACCTGTCTTACTATGGAGTCTCCCCGTCTTTGACCTTTGAGCTGTAACACTTCAGGAACCTAAGTGTCCCCTTCATCACATACATATTAAGGTGTATATTTGAATAAATATATTATATGAATCTAACTTGAAAAATTACTAAAGTTTCAAGGAGGTCTTGGAATTAGTATCTATCATGGTTAGGTATGGTTAGTTTAGGTTAGGTCCAAGTCAGGTTCAATTTAGGTTAGGTTCAGGTTAATAAATTAGGGAGCTTGTCCGAGACCTCCTCAAGTTTAACATGTATGTTCTGTAGGCAATCTTCTAGCAAGCACAATATGTTCTTGTGAATCTTGATGGGCGAAAATGTTGATGTCAAAGTGTTTTAGTAAAAGTATTTTAAAAAGCAGTTTTTGGTGAGATACTCATTTATGCAGACCACTGATGGCAACGTTTAGAAAGGTTATTTTAAAAATATAACTATTTTCACTTACTGTAAATAGGCCTGGCCTGGAATAATACAAGCATTGTGTTTGTACAGTCCACATAAATGAGCATCTCACCCAGTTTTTTTTTTTTATGTCAATTATATTTGTCAAATAGAATAGGATCAAGGCAGCTATAATTGTTAACCTTGCAATGTTTTGTACAAGTCCTTCTTTCACATGGATTATAACCTTATGTATGTTTTGATTAATAACTATTGTTTTAACAACCAGCTATCAAGAATTTGGTGAGATGGGTCAATTTCTATGATTAAAAAAAAATTATAAAGTCCCATAGTCATGTTCTATACATACCTCATTGCAAAGTGTGCTAATATATTGTCAGCTTTTCAAAAAATATTGATTTAATTTCAAAAAATTGTTTACAAATACACTCAATTGGTTATTAATTATATTGAAAAATTATTTTTAAGAAGCAATAATGTCACACATACATTTTTAAAAACTTATAAAGGTTAAACACTTTGAATTGTATAAATAGATCTAATAAGCTATCATTAATTCATCTGATGCTTTTAATGTATATTCAAAATGAGGTATATTATTGTGCTGCTATTTTTATTTCTAAAATAATTAAGGCAACAAGATACCAAATAATAGCAATTTTTTATCAAAACAACTTTGAAAATAAACAATACAAAAATAAATAAAAGAGTGGAAAATCGAAGGTGCCAAATATAAATCGACAGATTAATTTTTTTTTTTTGTTCTTTTACGGTCTAAAATATGTATATTGCATTACTATTTGAAATATAAAATAAATATGTTAAAATGCTATAATTGAGTTGAACTAAATGATTATAAATATATATAAAATAAGGATAATAAAAATAGACTTCAAGTACAAATGCATTTTGGAGAAAGAAGCAAAAACTGTAACATAAAAAATTATAAATAACAAGAGATTTCATAAAATAATAAAAATTATAAATTTATCATATTAAGTGAATTCAATTGACTAGTAATGGACAATTGACTTACAATAAAGTTAGGTTTATCTAGGAAAGCTTCAATAAGTCCATGTAGATAAAGTGAGATGCTATTGTCACGCGCGCGAGATTAAATTTATATTGATTCCAAGATTTGTTGATAAAACCATCCTCAATGGTACTTCAAATCTCACACAATAGCTGTCTCAATCTATGCATTATGATGAGATAGCACTCAGAACTAAATCAGAGGATGAGGTTGTTGGGCCAGATTTTCCACCAAACAGACCCAACAAAGATGTAAACTTTTACATCATATATATATACGCAGTATCTTGCCGGAGTGTTTGATGTCTAGATGGAAGTCCCACGACAATGGCCGACGGTGCTCTAAAGGTCAAGGCAGGGGAGGAAACAGCCCTGGACGTGTATCTCAAGACCTGCTGTAGGAAGATGACATCGGCCCTGTTTAAACAGCCAGAAGCCCGATGCAAACAGAACGAGAGGAAGACCAGGAACCGGGGAGACATTCAGTTGGAGATGATACCTATGCCTTTAAAGTTCACCCATAGTGTAAACGGAAAGCTGGTGGACAATGGAGAAGCTGCCTCGACAAGAAAGAAGGGTACTTCGAGTATTCTTCTTTTTTAACCAGTCCATCTCCTCACCTTTTTCTTTGTATATATAACTTATGATATCGCATTTAGATAGATTGGACATATTTAGTATTTTTAGAATTTCTTAAAGAAGAAATTATTATGTAGGTTTCTCAGAGGGGCAAACAAGATAGATTTTATTTTTATTTCATTACTAATCTAAATTATCTCTCGATAAGAAAGTTAATTTAAGTTTTCTTTAATATTTATTTTATTCTAAAATGATTTCCCATAGGATGAGCATGTATATTTTTATTTTTCATAATTCTCTTAAAAAAAAAAATAATATTATTTTATTCCTAGATTTGTTGCGTTCCCGTTTTGGATAAATGGAAAGGGAGGATATACGATGTGACTTATTAAAATTTTCTTACTTAAGTATATGTCACAATATCGTTGCGGAATTTCTTGTTGTTCGATGAGAATGGTGAGGATTGGTTGAAACGCAGTCGTTTGAGTGGAAAGTTGAGCATACAGTGGGGAATAACCAGGACACGTGATGGGGGT